GATATCCATTACCGCCGACTGGAAAACATTGGGCGAGTTCTTGTATCCTTGGGGTAGTCGAGTCCACACGTAGGCTCTGCCCTTATGCCTAAATGCCGTCTTCACCTTCCCCAACCTCACGGTAAAGAATCCATTCGCTAAGTCAATGCAGGACTTGTATTTCTTGACTTGTAGTGTCTTCAGAGTGCCTTGGGGTTGATCAGGCTCGCCTTATTCACCACTGTCCGGCGATTAAGAGCTTTGAAGTTTGTCACTGGTCGCTAAACTCCTCCTGCCGACTCAGGCTTCTTCACCGCCTGAAAAGAGCTGTTGGTAATGGGATTAGGTTCTTTCCGAATAATCCCCAGGGCGCTCAGCGCTCTCACTATCATGTCCATTTCTTCAACTGGCCCCGGGTTCAAGGGGTACTGGCAGACTGCTGGATGGACCCCTCCGATGATGGTGTGGGTGTATTTCTCACCTATGTCACCGCAGTCGTTCTTGAATCTAGCCACGCTACTTTTGGCGATGGACAATAAACGAAAACAGTCATTAGCTCACACTGAAACACAACTCTGTAGGAAAATAAAGTATAAAACTTTTGTCATCTCTGACTTGTACAAATAAAGAAACCCCAGAGACAGAAAAGTAATGAGCAGTAAAAGAAAACAAATAGGCTTTGTCAAAAAAAAAACAAAAAAACATTGTGACAAAGTGGCTGGTGTGATCGATGTTCAAAGTGTTTTATTTTGATTCTTTTTCATAATCATTTTCTTAACAAAAATAGAAGCTTTGAGTTATCTTTGAAAAGCCAGTATGCTTGGCCCCCAGGTTTAGGACGCGGGGCTCTGAAAGAAAAACTTGGTTGAGTATGGTAGACAGCTCTGGTTTTGGTTTGGAAGGGACTGTACAGTAAGGGTCCTATATACCTGGCGGAAGATATGCTCCTTTTCTTTCTGGGTCGGGCTTCGGACCTGGTCTCGGTTGATTAGGTGGCTTACTCTGGACACCTCTGGTTAGTCCGGTCTGAGCCTGGCGGCCTGGTGCTCCCTGCAGCGGCCTCCTTATTTGCTGCTGCTCGTACGGTGCTTTAGGCTTGGCTGGTGGCCGAGACTCTTTCTCCCTTTTTTCTTGGTGGATTTTCCTCTTCAAGTCCCACTTCTGCACCGCTGTGAGGCAAGGTTGTGTCTCTCGGCATTGTCACGAAGTCTAGTTCATCTCTCTGGCCCTTGGCTAAATATCTCAGGGCCTTCATGTAGTTACTTGTTGATATGTTCGTCTGCACCTCGTGCCATATTTGAGTGAGGGTCTGTCCTTTCTCCAGCCGGACCCGCGCTTCTATTGAGCCATCCTTCCTCATCTTCTCCACCTTTGAGTACAAGTTGGCTATAATGTTCTTGAGCCAAACCCCTGGCTTCAACCGGGTGTCCCATAGCACTGCTCAGCCACAGCCTTCTCGCTTCTTCATTGCCGGTTATACTTTTAACAAAATGCCAGCTGTCTCTCAAATACTCAGTTACAGGCTTGTAAGGGGATTTTAGTGGCACCATTGCTTTGATCTTTTTGAACATGGTAAAGTCTTGGCTGAGCGAGAGCAGACTCATCCAGTTATCGGTAGCCCGCACCAGGATTGGCTGGGCGACCAGGGGCCTCATGTACAAAGCGTGCATACGCACAAAAACTTGGCGTATGCACTTATCTACGCTCACATTCAGATGTATCAAGAGCGAAATGAACGTGGAAATGTGCAGTCCTCCACGCCAACTTCTTGACTAGCGTACGCACGTTTCTATTGCTTTTGAGCCGTTGGCGAGGTAATTCCTCAAAGTGATATGCACATCAGAGACACTAAGATGAACACTTAACACACCCAGGTGTTTGCAATCAGATGAGCGGATATAAAAGTTTACGTAAAATGGTGCAGAAGATACCGTTCACAACAATGGCAGCTTTGGACCTGTTGGAGGATGTTGCCAATGGAGCAGTGCCAAGAGAACGGGTTTCCAGAGACCTCAGGATGACGACTGGATCATCAGCCGCTTTACGTTCCCGAGGGCAATTCGCTTAGAGCTGTGCACGGAGCTGCGGCAATTGTTGGAGCGCAACACGTCCAGGAGCCATGTCCTACCTGTGCCCATACAGGTGCTGACCACACTGGGCTTCCTAGCCACAGGGTCATTTCAGAGGGAGCTGGCCGACCGACCGGGACTGTGCCAGTCGACAGTGAGCAGAGCCATGCCAGCTGTGTGGGTTGGAACCATCCGAATGTCAGCCAGATATATTAAATTCCCACACTGCAGTTGAACAGGACGACATAAAAGTGCAATTTGTAGCGACGGCCGGTTTTCCTGCTGTAATCGGAGCTGTCGACTGCACACACATCGCTATAGAGGCACCATCACAAGATGCATTTGTTTATGTAAACAGGAGGCATTTTTTTATTAAATCAGTGTACAGATCATCTGTGATGCGCAAATACAATTAAGTAACATTGTTGCGAGGTGGCCTTGATCAAAACACATTCTGACCAACAGTATGGTTGAGAACAGGCTACAAGCTGGCACGTTGGTGGCTTCTTGGTGAGTAAGTCATTTAATTGTCCTAATATTAATCCCCCCGACATGCGTTGATGTGCGCCCCGGACAGGCATCAGCAGCTGGCTGTTGTGGCGACCGGAGGATTGGCTGACGCCGGGGAGGCTGGAGGAATCCTGCGGGTCTGTGATACGAGGCTGGGACTGCGTCTCACAGTCTTCTCTTGCCTCATTGTCTGTTGGAAAATAATAAATTGAGTAATCTGACATGAGACAAAGTTTTGATTTCCTCTTTGATATCCTGGCATGATTACGCAAGAACCTGTATCTTGTTTGGCTGCGAGCAGATTATTATATGACCCGTGTAGTGAATAAATCTGTGGGTTACACAATAAATATTTACCTTGGGGTGATCTGAGTGACCTAGGTGTGCTCCCACCACCCCTGTGACAGCAACGTCACCCACAATAGCGGCGACTCTCTGCTCAAACGGGGTGAGTTCATCCTTGTTACTGTTATCTGATCCTGCAGAGAGGGGAATCCTACCTGTCGGCCCTGTTTATGCTAATTTGCATATTTAAATTGAGGGCGTGGAGAGGGAGGAGTCTGGTACTCCAACATGTGCGGTCAATTCCACGTTGAGTGAGATGTACAACGGAAATGTGCTTGGATTCCGGCGTACGCTCACTTTCGTTCATCTGGATTTTTTTGTGCATACGCTGTATTCAGGATTGAAGTGTTCGCCAGGTTTCAGTATGAAATCCACGCAAGTCTTTGTACATGAGGCCCCAGGTCTTTCTTCGGGGTTGCTGGCTGCTGTTCCTCGATGTCTTCGTCATCGTTGGAAAAATCCTCGTGCCGAGCTTTCCCCAACTCTTTTGCGTACTTGTGCTTTCTTCATTCTTCGGAGCATGACATCGTGGGTTATGGCCGTGAAGGCTGTTCTGAAGTACGCTGTCAATTCTTTGCAGGATGCCAGGGACCCATAAGTGGGTATCATCAATGTACTAGCCCACTCTTTAACTTTAGCTTTAACTTTCAGTTCCATTAGGTCTTCTTGGTTCTCTGCCCAACTTTCTGGCACGTCGTAGCTGGTCTGGCCAATTTCAGGCATGTATGCCTGCCTGCTGTCTTCGGTGATGACAGGTCCGAAGCTTACATCCCTTGCTATTCTCTCAGATGCTGTTTTCACTGATACAAGTGGCACGTCTTTCTTGGCCCGTTTTCTTCATGCATTTCTCAGCTCCTGCACTTTGTCTGGTGTCTTGTAGGTCTCCAATTCCAGACTTTGTTCTTGCTCTCCATCGTCATCGTCGCTCATCTCTTCCTCACTAGCAGGAGGATTTTCTTCCAGATCACTAAGAATTTCTTCCTCAGCCTCCCTCTGTGGGGTTCTCACATCAAGGGGAATCGGTGAAATGGCCCTGTCACTCACTCTAGGGGTTCCAGGCCCCCCAGACGTCACCGATGCTTGCCTGGTTGTCTGCAGGGTTGAGTAGTCTCCTTCTGGCTTTGCCTCTCTCACAGTCTCTTCCTGCCTGCTGTACAGCTGCTGGGCTACAATACCTGGAGTTGTCGATGCCCTCCATGCTGGTGCGATGCTGGTGGTGACCGGGGCCCCAGCATAGCTATGCTTTCCCCATGCTTGGTCTAAGTTGTGAGATGTTTCACCCGGTGTAAATGAAATCCTCACTCTGTCCCTCTTGGGGGTGTGTGGCTCTTCTCTCTCATCTTTCACCAGTTTGTTGGTCTTTTGTTTCACCTTGATGCCCCTGGCCTCTTCTGCGGCCTGCAGGGGCCTCAGTAGTCGCTCCTTTTGTTCTCTATCTTGAGTCTGCGAGACCATGATCACTATCTGCTTTATCTTGTTGCAGATTGGATGGGTCATCATCTACAGGTTGGCTGCTCTCACAGCTGCTTGCTCTGCTATCTCCCAGGGCAGGTTGTTGGATCTCAGTCTGTCTGCACACATCACTACCCTCCTGTATTCCATCTCATTGGCTAACTCAAGTCCATCTTCTGTGGCTGAGACTAGTACTTCTCTGTAGACCTTGACGTCAGAGTGTGTTTTGTATTCTTCTGCAATAGCGTGTATCACTGCAAAATGTGGGAGATAACCTCCACTGATTATCACCACAGACTTTGCTTCAGTAGGGCTCCCTCCGCTCTTCTTGCTCTCTTTGGTAACCGGAACCCGCTGTCTTCTGCAGAGCCTTTTCGGAACATCGTATTCCTCGTCTTCAGGTTTGAGTTGGTGATGACCAGCTGCTTTAATCTCCCAGGGATCTCCGATGAGATAATGGGCCACTGCTCCCAGCTGGTTGCTGTATCTCCTCCCCCCGGATGGCAGCAAAGGCAATGGGGCTTTATCTCGTCTGTTCTCCTCACAGGCTTTTCATCTTCTTCTTGATCTTGCTCAGATACCTGCCGACCATTGCAATTGGCTTTTGTCAGTGCCTTTAGGCTTTTGATCACCGAGTTCGTGGCTTCCACGGGGACTTGGGCACAGGCCGGTTCCAGGGAGACCGGTTACTCAGGCCCCGCTAGTGCTGGTGATAGGGGTTCTCTTTAATCCTCGGTGCCTTCGTCTGGGCCCGAGACGTCATCCTCCTCCGAACCTGCCTCCCTCGGGACCTCGCTGTTCGAAGCCGAGCTCTGCCGAGTGTTCAATCTTCTGCGGACATCTTCATCTGCTTGCTCTGCTGCTAGCTGTTGATACTGATTCACTTCAGCAGCCTCTTGTGGTCTTTGTCTTTGTATTTTTGGGCCGCTTTTACTGTGCCCTTGGAAGCTAGCATGGCCCCAACCCCGGCTGCTGTGGTCAACATCTTGAAGATCGAGTCATAGTTCATTGCGGGGCTCACTAGCATGATAATCCGCCCCGTTGGCAGAGTTTTGGTTCTTTCATTCAGGTGTTTTCCCCACCAGGTCAGCCATGTTGCTGTGTCTTCTTTCTTCTTGGGTTTTGGCAGGCACTCGATCACGAGCTGCCATTGCTGCCCCACTTTCTGTGTTGAGATGTAATATCCTTCATTCTTAATATCTTCTATTATCTCTCTTTTGTCTATGACAGGGTTATATTCTTTAACGTGTTCCCAAACTTCCTCTTCCCAGGTGTCCCATCCTTCCCCCAGAAGGATGATCTGGCAGGGTAGCTTCGGGGAACCCTCCGACTTCATTCGGGTCGTTTGCTCCTCCTGCTCTCCCGTTGGGCCGATCAACTCTTCAGCTGCCAAGAGGCTAGGTGGAGGACCGTTTACTCCCGCTGCAGAGGATGCTTGCGGGATCTCTTGGCTCACGTCGTCCATGGTCTTTGTCTTTGTCGTCTCGAGTCATCTGCTCCGTCAAAGCCTCTCGCAGCGCTTCGAGCAGGGATGAGGGCAGACTTGGTTAGGCTACTAAGTGGTCACGCTCGGACTTGACTAGGTCCCCCTAAACGCCCACTTCTTTTCCTGCGGTGCTCTGTGCACCTCCTGCAGGTTCAGCGACCCTGAATGGTCTTCGGTTCAGTCACTGCTTCAGCAGTCCTGAGTCTCATGCTCAGTAAGCTGCCTCTCCATGTGAAACCTCCTCAGCAGGCTCCTCTGCGCAGTTTCACACTTCGGCTGCTACAATAGGAAAAAGAGGCCTCTTCTGGCCTCGGTGATTAATGGGTGGGCGTGGCAAACTTAGCCACGCCCACCCAGGAATGCCACCTATTGATCCGCGCCGGTATAACCGTGCATAGGGCTACTGGTCCAGCTCTCCGTTACTAGGGTTAGGTTCTATCTGCCAACAGGCCCTTGACCTACTAGGATTCTGTAGAACTGCTTAGGCTGGTGTTGAGGAAACTCGCCTATCCAGAGGTCTATCTTGACGTCTACTCAATTAAGAGGAAAGCAGCCACTAACAAGCGTGTCTAATAGAATGATTTAACTACTGAGGCTACTTAGTTGAGTCAACTATTAGAGGAAGCGGGGTAGACGTCTGTATTAAGGCAGTTAGAAGCTAGGCGAGTTTCCTCGACACCAGCTTAAGCAGTTCTACAGAATCCTAGTTGGTCAAAGGCCTGTAGGCAGATAGAACCTAACCCTAGAAACGGAGAGCTGGACCAGTAGCCCTGTACAGAGGTAGTACTGGTGCGGAACAACAGGTGGTGCTGATTCCCCACTCGCCAAGGACGACCAAGTCCCCGCCGTCAGGAACCTGGGCTGCTGGCGACTCCGGATCCCCCTCAGCGGGCTTGGAACTTGCCGACTCCCTCAGCTGTCTTTCCACGGTCACAGCAAGGGTTGTCATCTCATCCTCCTCGTGCTCCAGCTCGTATGGTGAGATCGGCTCCCAGTCCTCAGGGTTGTGCCATGCACAGAGATCTTGCGGCGCCGATTCTTTCGTTGGTTCCTCAGCTGGTTCATGTACAGTTCCTTCATCTTTCATCGGGGTGTTTGGGGGCACCTCAGCCTCCAGGGCTAGATCCATTTCCACTATCTCCTCTATTGCTGGATCATACAGCCACATCGGGGTTGGCTTGATCTGGATCAATGGCAGCTGTTGCTCGGCTTTCGGCAGATTGGTTCCTATGGCCACAAATCTGCCATCCCCCAGGTAGGATGTGGAGACTCAAGCTCCGTCAGGCAACTCCAACATCTTCATGAACACTGGGCAGTAGATGGTGTCTGAATGGGTATCAATGGTGCTCGATGCCTTGCCTGCTGTAGTCCAGACCAGTTGTGCATTCGCTTTGATCCTCAGACACTCATGTATCAGCATCGTGGGCACTCTCGCCCCTACTTTACCACAGTAGAGACCCCGGGCAATGGTAATCTGGAAGAAAGTGGTGTAGCACTTCCTGCACCACAGCTGATGTGCAACATCTCAGAGGTATGTCACCTGCTCTAGGGTGACCATACAACAGGCACACCTGGCTTCTTTCTGTAATGTGAGCATATATAAAGGTTCATTTTAATTAATAACTTTCGCAGCGTTACGTAGCATAGCAAGCAAGCACACAGGGCACTTCTCCTTTTCTCCTACACCTGTGCTTCTCTTCTCACGGCGTGCCTCTGGCTCATTGAGCTTAACCAAGGTGACATCAGCACTGTAGGGGTACCTCCCGGACTTCTTGGTGTTTCTCGCCTTGCGAAGAAAGCTTCATACAGCATGAACCAAACTAGAGTGGGGATTTCTACGCTGGGCACAAACCAGTAAAAGGTAGCCGTGATACTCCAGCCAATGCCCCAGAGTGTAATGGCAGCAATCTTCAACAGCCAACGCCTTCTTCCTCTGTCTTGCAGCACCATGGCCATGACCACAAGATACTCCAATAAGGTAATGACTAGAAATCCCTCGTAGAGGATGCTGATCCACCTCATCAACCTGTAAAACACCGTGGAGAAATCAAGACTCATCCAAAGGACAATGAGTATTCCTTTGCAGATGCCCGCTCAGGTGGTGTCAGTTCTGGTATGCCCCAAGATGTAGGTCATGAACATGGACAAAGTGCATCTTCCTTGTCTTCTGTAGAGATTCTCCACACAGTTCTTCGCACCCCCCAGGATCAATGCTACGTTTCTTAATGGCTGATCAAATGACCATTTTCCAACACAGCAGAAGGTGAACCAGGTAATCTCAATTGCCCAGAGCTCCACTGCTCTTTCAAAAGCTTCTTTGCCGCATAGCATAGCAGAATCGTGTGAGGTATTTGTCATACTCACAGTGGACAAAGTCGAGTTTGGGGTTGCTGTTGTCTCAGTGCTCATGATTGATGACATGGTTTAGCTGTCTGTTACCTTTTAATTATAATTGTTGTCTAAGTCTTTCTCTTGGTTGCTTTGCTGCTCTCCCTCCAGGTCCCGGAACTGCAATGGCCAGAGGGCTCCGGTGCTCCACGTTTTATAGGTCCGTAAGCCCCTCCTGTCGACGGAGGAGGGGGCTCCCTCCCGTCTTCCTTCTTTGGGACGTGAGTTTCTTGCAACAGGAACAAATGGCAGCTCGGGTTCCTCCCTTCACAGTGGCGCAGCTGATGAGGCCCAGAATGATCAATCCTAGTAGCATCAGGAGATATGGCCACAGTCAGGCACACAGTTCTCATATCCAGCCTCCTAATTTATGAATTCCCTTGCTGATTTTCTCAGCCACGGTCTCCACCACTGTTGCAGCTGCTCCTGTCACCATGCTTCCCACTAGCTCATACCAACGGCACTTGCGCTCTTTCTTCCCCTTGCCACACTTCACCCAGTGCTCCGCTGGCAAGTGGCAGGTTCCGTTGTTGTAGAAGCGATTGGATCCCAGCCATCTTTAGTCTCTAGGCCAGGGATGGGCAACTTTTATGACAGAGAGGGCCACATTTTTTTCTCCAACACTACCGGGGGCCACACTACAACTATGAATTTTCATCATACACTACTTCATATAGACATATTTTTACATTTACGAAAAAACAAAGTAGCACATATATTGTGGCAATTATCAATGTTTATTGTACTTGTTTTTACAATTTTTAACATTCAAAATGCATGTATTTTTATGCTACAAGAAAAAAGTGCAATAACAATTAAGAGTAAAGTGCAGAACTCCAACACAAATTGCAACAACAAACATTTCTGTTTGTAATGGCTTAATTTGGACTATATTTACATAGCCCTCCTATTCCACATGACGTTTCAAGTAAGGTCCTGAAAAGACGCTGCCTCACCTATACTTGGCTGAGCAACATTTGTCCTAATGAGATACTTGTGGCCTCCCCTGCTGCTGCACAATATTCTGAATGTCAATGTCAGTTTTTGTGCTTCCAATTTGCATGAGCTGGAACAGAGTTTCATCTGTCAGCCTGTTTCTCTCTTTTGATTTAATGTGCTTCATAGTTGAAAAGCTGCTCTCGCAGATGTAGGTGCTCCCAAACATGCTGGCCATGGAAAGTGAAAAATCTCTGAGCAATGGGAAATGGGACTCGGGTAGCAGTCTCCAGAATGAAATCCCCTTCTCACTTTTCTGTAACTGAAAGAAAGGGTCCAACTGTACTTCGCAACTCGTGGCTCCATGGCGTGGAAGTCTTGGAAGCGCTCATTGAACTGCTGCAGCAGAGTTTTTATGTCGGCTCTGTACTTTGGGAATATTTTCTCACATTCAGGGACATCTCTGCGCATCTCTTCACAGGAGGGAAAGTGTGACAGATTTGGAGACGCGGATGAGAAACCATCTCTGAACAGAGCCAGTTTGTGCCGAAAGGCGCTCATGTGTGCGTACAGGTCCGATACAGTTTGGCATATCCCCTGCAGCTGTATGTTAAGATTATTTAAATGTGAAGTGATATCGGAAAGCTGTATCCTGGAGTTTGCGGCAGTATGCACTTGTATCACAGCGAACACAGTCCTCCAAAAACACAGGGAGTTCAGTGCGCAGCGCAAAAAACCTCTCCAGACACTTTCCGCGCCTCATCCATCGGATGTCAATGTGCATCTGTAAATCCCCATAGGCGTCATTCACCTCTTCCAAAAAGGCAACAAATTTTCTGTGACTGAGAGCCCTGTTACCCCCTCGAATGAGATTAGTAACTTTGGTCACTAAATCCATGACGTGGCTGAAGTTAATTGTCTTTGCGCAGAGGGCCTCCTGTAAATTAAAAATAAATAATATTAAGACTATGAAAATAGACTTTATTATAAATTCATTAAGTAGAATCAAATCAATAGTTACCCACCTGATGTAGGATGCAGTGCAGTACGGGGCAGTCAACTCCGCTCTGATGGAGGAGCCACGCGAATCCGGTGCGTCTTCACTGCATGGACGGTGCTGAACGTCAGCAAGACTAAAGAGCTGATTGTGGACTACAGCAAGAAGTAGCAGAGGGCATAGCACCCACTCAGGATCAGCGGGACAGAGGTGGAGCGAGTGGAGAGCTTCAAATACCTGGGTGTTAATATCAAGCAGGACCTGACGGGGTCCTGTCACATCAACACCTTGGTGAAGAAGGCTCTACCTCCTCCTCTTCTTGTGTGTTTTGTTCCTTTTTTTTTTATCATCTTAATATTGTTTCGGTGTGGAACAGTTATGCAAAGCATTTCACTGCGCGTTGTACCATGTATAACTGTGTTTATGACCAATAAAGGCCTTGAATCCTTGAATCCTTCGTAAAGCTGCCCATTCTTCTTGGCAAAAACCCTCCAGTTCCTGTAAATTCCTGGGCTGTTTTGCATGAACTTCATGTTTGAGATCTCCCCAGAGTGGCTCAATGATATTGAGGTCAGAAGACTGAGATGGCCCCTCCAGAACCTTCACTTTATTCTGCTGTAGCCAATGACAGGTCGACTTGGTCTCGTGTTTTGGATTGTTGTCATGTTGGAATATCCAAGTGCGTCCCATGCACAGCTTCCGGGCTGATGAGTGCAAATTTTCCTCCAGTACTTTCTGATAACATGCTGCATTCATCTTGCCATCAGTTTCCCGTGCCTTTGTAGCTCACACATCCCCAAAACAGCAGCGAGCCACCTCCGAGTTTCACAGTAGGAATGGTGTACCATTTGTCACAGGCCTTGTTGACTCTTCTCCAACATTTATGGTTGTGGCCAAAAAGTTCAATTTTGGTCTCATCACTCCAAATGACTTTGTTCCAGAAGTTTCCAGGCTTGTCTCTGTGCTGTTTGGCAGATTGTAAGCAGGATGCTTTGTGGCATTTGCATAGCAACGACTTTCTTCTGGCGACTCGACCATGCAGCCCATTTTTCTTCAAGTGCCTCCTTATTGTGCATCTTGAAACAGCCACACCACTTTTTTTCAGAGAGTCCTGTATTTCAGCTGAACTAATTTGTGGGTTTTTCTTTGCATCCTGAACAATTTTCCTGGCAGCTGTGGCTGAAATTTTTGTTGCTCTACCTGACCGTGGTTTGGTTTCAACAGAACCTCTCATTTTCCACTTCTTAATTAGATTTGAACACTGCTGTGTTTGTGCATGTTTGCTAAATGCACGAGGTGACATCTGGAAACAGTCTACACACCTTAAACAACTGACCCTTTTTGTTGTCGCTCTTACTGATAATTAGATGTTCAAACACTTAAATTGTAATGGGCTTACAGAGTACCCAGGTTCAAATACTAATGGACTGTACAAAACTACTCCCTATTTTGTACCGTCCATTGCAGTGACCTGCAGTCAGGGGAGGTAGGTGAGGCAGAGCGTCACCTGACATCTCAGAAAGAAAAAAAAATATAATGATAAAATTATTTAAATGGTTATATTTATCCAGTGATTTGTACTATAAAGTATTTGTTTTTTTCATTTAGCTTTTTAAATTCAAAATCGCAGAATTTTCGCAATTTCCCATTCAAATGCTTGGAAGAGAAGCCGGTGAGGCCTGCAGCAATCTGTGCCTCACTTGGATTGCACAATTCCTCACTACCTACACTGGCTGGCTGCACTGACAGCGTGCTGCTGTCTGTATGTCGCCAATAACATGGTTCATGGTTTTGTGGGCTACAGCTTGTATGTGTAAAGAGTGCAGATATGAAACATAACCTGTAAACTGCTGCCAATCAAATGACAAATATGCTACTGTGTAGAGTGCATATATTTGTAAATCGGATTCTGATGAAGTCAGTGCCTCACCAGCAAGATATCAGAACTGTGATTTGTCATTAAACACTTCTGTCCTGGATAATTTTGATGTTTTCTCATTAATAGTAGTTCTTGAAACTCATATGTGCAATACAATTCTCCAATAACCCCAAATTCCCCATGTCTGTTGGAGAGTCTCAGTCTAAACACATCTCCATGTCATGACAACAATGAAAGAAACAACTGTGAAAAGGTTCACAAGTTCTGCAGTTGTTGGGATCACAATGCACAGGCTCAGTTTGTTTAGCAGGGGTTTGCTCAGCTCTCCAAACACAGGGTGTAGGTATTTTTCAGGAAATGGGTCCCTGTATTCAGTTACTTAATGAGGAGACTCCTTTCCCTCCAAGACAGCCTCTGGCTCCAAAGCTCCATGACCCTCTGAGTCCTCTGACCAGATGCCCAGCATTAGTCAGCACTGACCCAACTGTGACTTCCAGCTGCTTTTAGGCATTGAGTTTTAGCTTGGCATCCATATAAGCCTGTATCATCCATAGTTTGAAGATGTAGCCTTAAAAAAGTAGAGGACACAGTTTTGTTGAAGAAAAAAATAAAAATAAAAAAAAATACACAGAATAAAAATACACTGACTCCTCAGCCCTCAATTTTGTGTGTACTTTTTATTATGTGTACTTATCTATCAGTCTAACAAATAGTAAAAACATATAATGTCAGTCTACACTAGGAAGTAGCTATCCATTATCTCCATCATCTATACACCACAATCCTCACTGGGGGGGGCTATCCCAGCTGACTCAGCTACTCGGCTAACAATACACCTGCTAAACATGTATCAACACACACAAAGACCCATTGTCTTATATTTAAGATTATATTTTTGAAGTATAAATATCTTACAAGACAATTTTGAAAAGTTATATGAGATCCAGGACAGTGCTGAAGTGGAGCAGGTGTGTTAAAGCAAAAAAAAAAGAAAAAATCCTGAAAATATGTTCATCACACTGTGTTTGTAATGTTCTGCATGATTCCTGAACTGAATTACATTTAAAGAAACAAAACCATGAACTTCCCTGGTTTCACATCATAATGCAGATTCAGTGAGACTGGAGCATGAACTGATTTAGCTTCTGGATGGTAAATGTATCAGCAGACTGCAGTCACAAAATAGTTGAGTTTCTCTTCCTCGTGTAACTTCTGGTCATGAATAATATTGCTGACATGTTATTTAATGTGAAGAATGACACCATTTGCAAAGCTTGCATTAATGAAACTTCAACTGTGCATCAAAAAATAGATTCATGTCCATCATTATCTTTTTCTCTCTGTTTAGGTCCCAAGGGTCTACCCGGGGATGAAGGACCAGGTGTAAAGGGAGAGAAAGGGGAACCTGGGGCTCCAGGTAGTTCTTGGTTAATTTCGTCATTATACCACTGTGGAGGTTCAAACCCCTGACTTGACAACATGAAAACATCCATCCATTAGCTATACGCAGCTTCATCATCTGTAGTGTCATGGGGAGCTGAGGCCTATCCCAGCTGACTCAGGGTGAAGGCAGGTTCACCTGGACAGGTAACCAGTCTATCACAGGGCTACACTTAGAGACAGACAAGTAAGGACACTCACATTCACACCTACGAACAATTTAGCATGTGTCTGGACTGTGGAAGGAAGCCAGAGAACCTGGAGTTCCCATGCTGCACGGGGAGAACATGGAGACTCTACGCAGAAAGATCCTTGGTGTCTTCACCGGGACGTGAACCGGCGACCTTCTAGCTGTGAGGCAACGGTGCTAACCTCTAAACTACGATGCAAGACCAAGAAATATTTATGAATTTCAAAACCACATGTTAATGTATGTTGCGGCGTCCAAACAAACCTTTTAGCCGCTGAGAGTTTGAGGTTGGGTCCTCAGGTTCGCAGATTTGTGACGTGCTAGGAGGCTATGATAACAGATACGCTGAGATCCAGAATGCTTTTGGTGCATTTATTGTAACAAACAGCACAGCGCTATCACAGCGCAATGAAGATGAATGGATGGAAAAATGAAAACCAGTGGATTAAACAGATAAAAAAGTAATTAACGAATGGATGGGTAGCGGTCAACAAACATTGTGGCTACTACCCAACCCTGACTCTCTCCTCCTCTGTGACACAGGTGAGTGCACACCTTTATACACACACAATTCCGCATGTGCACACGCCCACTCCCACTGTGCAACACACACACACACTCAGGCACACCGTGCTCCTCATCTTCACCCTTGTATGTCTCCTACAATGTATTTTTATGACTTTGTGGATGATTTTGTGATTTCATTAATGACTGACATTTTGTGTGTTTAATAATGTTAAATCAGAATCAGAATGATTTATTGCCAAGTAGGTCTGCATATACGACGAATTTGACTTGGTGTTGTTGTGCTAAAATAACAGTACAACTGTTACATATAGATTAAAAGTGTTGGCAGTTGTAACTGTAAAGTGTACAAGATAAATTAGAAGCAGTTTTATAAATCTTTTTTTTTTTTTTTTTTTTTTTAAAGGTAAAATAAATGTCACTGTCAAGGCTACAAGCAATGGCAATGCAGATAACTTTACAGCTTGCTTGCATATCTTTGGCAATGTGCTGTTTCTTAACTGTGATAAGGCAGCTGTTTGACTGATCACTACTTACTGTACATTCTGTGTTCAGGCACGCATGTTTATGTTATTCTATGTCTTATACTATTCATGCTGTAAAACCTTGTCAGTTCAGGAGATGTGTGAAACCAAACAACTAACATGAAGACAGAAATAGCAAGAAGGCTGCAGTCCATCATGCCTTTGCACAATTCAGCTCTCTATAGAGCCGGGCCAGAGCCAGCCACACAAAGAGAGTCCCTATGCTGACCCAGTAATGTGCAGTTATCCCTCATGAATATCTTCCTAAACATCTCAGCTGCTTAGAAAGTCTGAAGCAGTGCTAATGTGGTTCACACAGGTGAGGAGGACAGTGAGGGCACCCTCATTACCCATTACCCATTCTGTCACCCACTCCTCCACTCCTCAACCCCCTGTCTCAGTCCTATCATTTATTTATCCACGTCAGCCCTCAATTACAGACGACGGTCTTCGGAGCCAGGGAGCAGGCCTGGATGACCTGCGGTTGGTCTGGCTAATGAACAATGGAGTGAATCTCCCCTCATGTTTATTTCCGGCTTTCACCCACAGCAGGGTCCCCTGGGAGGAACAAAGAGACAAGGATTCTGAATTACAATTAGCACTTTGTAGTTTTAATACACCTTGCCTGCTCCCATTTTCCACCCATCCCTCTGCATACAGAGAGAAGGACAGTGGAAGGAAAGGGAGGCGTGCCACTTACAGGCAGACATGATGGTGGTGTGACTCAGCCTGATGTCCCCTGAAGGGAGAAGCAGGCAGACAGATAGACTGTGAATCAAGTCCTCCCTCGTCTGGACTTGAAGTAAGTTGGATCCAGAGCCATGCTGTCACTTTCTCATGGTGGCCAATCCATTTACAGCAGCTCTGTCCTGAAATTAAATGTCTTACTCTGCATTCCAATTTATTCTTGTGCATCACTCAACTCAACTATTGATGATGAGCATTTAGTTTTTAATTTAGGAATCTCGTATTAATCTTTGATGTCATCTGCCTGTGGCTACTGGATGGAACTGCAACAACTTACAACAACAACGTTTTTTGACCAGGATATGTCATTTAACTCACACACAAAGCAAGTCTCTAGGACAGCCTTGATTCACCTGGACATCCTGTCTCAGAGTGATGCTGAGAAACTAGTCCATGCATTTTTAACTTCTGGACTAGACTATTGTAATTCCTTTTTATCAGGATGTCCCAGAAACTCTCTCAAAAACCTTCAGCTGATCCAAAATGCGGCAGCCAGGGTTCTGACAGGAACCAACAATCATATTTCTTCTATAATAACTTATTTTCATAGTTTATAAGAAAATATAAAATGTAACACAGTGTCACTTTTACCTGCTCGGTGAATGTTGTATAAACTTGGCACAAAGCTAATATTTTTTACTTCCAGTGGTGAAATGAATATTTTCACAGTAGCAACATGGTTAAAGAAAATAACCAGTCTTACACGCAGCATCTTCAGTTTTGTGGATCTTTCTTTTCAGACTGCTAATCGTTGCAAACAACAACAACAACAACAACAACAATAAAAATAAAACAACCTAAGCCACAAACCAAACACTTAAAAACAATAGAAATAATCAGAATTTTATCTATGGGCTCTGACATTCGACATCTGCCCTATCAAGGAGCAGGAAATTTAAAAAAAGAAGGACACAGGCTAGTTCAGTTGCTGCATTTCATCAGCTGCCTACCCATGAAATGTGGGCATGCAATCTGAGAGATTTTTTCACTTCATCATAAAAACACATGCAAACTTCCATCTGCACTATGATCTACAATGAAAACACCTTGTTATGGCCAACTTTACTGTGTAGTTATAAAATTAAATGTCATTTGTTTGATTGCTTTTTATTGTTATTCTTTGTGCTCCTAACAAATAGCCAAGTTTCTTGATGATTTCCTAAACCCTGAAAATTCTGTCCATGTGTAATGAGAATCTAACTACTACTTCACCACCAATCAAACATCCAACAGCTGTTAGGGAGCTGAGGACTCACCCTGAGGACAGTGCTCTGTAACAAATGATTCAAGTGCAGTCTATAAACTGTGACTCTGTGTGACAGCTCATCTGTCTGAGGTGAAGAAGTGCACATGGGGACTTGTGCTTAGATTCTGACCAATCACAATCAATCAAAAATGAATGGATCCCAGGTCTGTCTTTGAGAAAGAGGGACGGAATAAAGAAAAATAGCAATTAGAAAAATATTTTCTAATATTTTCTTTTCAGCACAGTTGTAGCAAAAGTTGGTCTGTTGTACAACAGTTAACAGAGCCTCTTGAGTTCAGTGCCTTTTCAGTCTGTCTTTTTTGGCATGTTGCCGTATAACATTTTTACCTTTCCCATTCACTACAGACTACTTTAGCTGTATAGATAACCCCACTGTGGTGACATTGTAATACATGTGTTGTAGTAGTACAGCATTTCACAAACCCCCTTCCTCTAGCTGGTTAAGTGTGAATCAGAATGAGATGGCATAACATAATTGTGTCAATGGCAACTTTGCAATTTGTGCAAGATGGAGATGAAATTTGCTGATTACAAAAAATAAGTTAGCATTAATTAAAGTTAGGAGTGTGTGTGACTAATCAGTGTGTTTTCTCCAAGTTGTCAAATAACTTGAAATATTTCATCTGAGCCATTAACTGTAATTAGAACTTTCTCTTTTACTTCACCAACGTTGACAGGCTTCACAAATAGGGGGGAAAAAAAGAGGACAGATGCTGCTGCAGTCTAAAAGATTCTTCTGTTTGCATTTGCAGACACTGTTGAGTCTTGGGTCTTAATATGTATGTGTTCCAAAGTCAGCCGACTTCTGTTTGTGTTTTTGGACAGGACACACTGACCCAACCATTGTAATAGTCTAGTTACATCATGTAGGAAATATAAATAATGCTTCAGCTGAGTTGTTACAATAGACTGAATGCTATGACTCTTTCACCTGCCTTTGGGCCAGAAATGATCAGGCTGCCTTGTCCAACATGAAGTCAAAGGTTACTTCATGGATCAACTGTTGGTGTATTCAAACCTTCTCAAGAAAAAAGGCTTTACAGTTTTCAAAGTCTGATGTGAATGCTGTTTAATACAGAGTCTGCAAGGATAAAAATGAGTAAACATGAGATTTTGACCAACTCTTTACAGCTTCTTATATACACTTTTGTAAATTCCCACCAAAATCTCCCCCTTCTCCTGGGAAGCTATAACCCATTCTCTCGACAAAGACATATCAGATCATCTCTGCCAGGATTGGATTTGTTTTTTTCATGTTTGCCAGTGTCTGATCCAACCGTGACAAATTTTACCTCTTCAAAAAAAAAACAAACAAAAAACAAAAAAAAAACAAAAAAAACCAACCGTGACAAATTTTACCTCTTCAAAAAAAAAACAAACAAAAAACAAAAAAAAAACAAAAAAAAAAAACACCACACACAAACAAGCAAAATGTATCAACAGTGCACTCATTGTGCATTGTTTTGAGCTTCCAAATATAGCTTTCCTCCAAAGTCAGAATCTCTTTCCGAAGCCAGTATCTGTCATGGATCGGGTTCAGAGACTCAGGAGCAGACAGATGACTCAGCTGACCAGGCATACAATAGAAGTTTTTATTTAGCAAGTTACCAAATTTACAGAAACAGAAAACAGGGTCAAAGGTAATGTGACACAGATTATCAACAGAGACACCTACAGGAATGGCAGAATAACTACACATTAAAACATTTGTGAGAATCAAAAATTTTCAAGTACACGATGAGAACGGTAAACTCAACACTAACAAAACCAGGTTGGGAATAATAAAATTTCATTTAACTATTAAAATATTAACAATTCACACAAGGAATTTCCACTATGCTAATGGCTACTCTAGTAGAACTCACACCTTACTAACAGCTGACAGAAAGAGAACGGGAAATGAAGGTGGTGGCATGGCAAGGCAGACCAGATGCAGCAGTGGAGTTCTTGAAGACAGTGGTGTTGCAGACAGACCAGGTGAGGTGGTTGCAGAGGGAAGGAGCGTATCTTTTCCAGAGAAAACAGGAGTGGGTGACGGACAGACGGAGGGTCAACCAGGTGTTCGGAGCAGCAAGGTGGTTCCAACTGATGCAGAGGAGAGAGGTTAGCACACAAACAGAAACAGAAAGCAACGGATAAAAACTGAGCCATGGTTTTGCTAACAGAGACTGGTTTACAGTCCAGTGTCGAGTAGTGGACTGGAGGCTGCTTATATTGTGGCAGGTGAGTCATTCTAGAAGCGCCAGTCCTCGCCGCAGGTGCAACCAATCACTTAATCATCCGATCCACTGCACCTGCACAATGGGCACACACACACCCTCCTAAGGAAGAAGGAAAAGGGAGAGGGACTGCCACTAGGACTGGACAGAGGTGGAGGGCGTGACAGGATCTCATTCGCTCGCCAGCTGCATGGCATTGAACTACACACAAACCCACGAGCTCACACATGAACTTACAAGGTCATGTCTTTCTACTTCACACAATGTTTTTATCCCAGCTACTTTATTTTACAAGTTTTTCATGAGTTGTGGTCACATAGGGTTGTTCAATTTTTTTACATGAATTTAATTTAAACATCATATTTCCTAGTTATGTCATTTGTTTGTACATGAATCTGACTTGAACATTATACTTCTCGGTTTTGTCATTTGTTCAGCTTAAAATCTCACAATACTTACTGTATGATCAATTTTAGATGAAGTTGGACACAAGATACAAGCAGAGTGACACATTTAGATACTTTTAGTGATGCTAGAAACAACACAGGATTGTAATGTTTTGTAAAGTAAAGCTAATGAACCCACCCCATGACATTTCCTACTGGGATATTACATGGGTCATTAAACGGATCTTGAAATAATACACCAATGGAACTAGGGTTTCATATTTTTCCAATGATTCAGTTTCTGTCAGTGGCAATGTTTTCCAACTGTTTACTGCTTCTGTGTACCATGCATTCAAGCTCAACATCCCTGGCCGATAATAGGCATAATCATTCAGAGAAAAAAAGCACGCATTTGGAATGCACGGCTGTTAAAATGCTGGCCATGTAACTGCAGTGGCCCTACTTAAAGTCTGGCTGTGGAACTTTGCTGCTGACTGTAAGCTAATTGATCACTGTGGTGAGCTGAAGGTTTACAGATCTTGAATGACACTATGATAAACTGTAGTCCATTTGAGCAGGTGAGATAGCTGGTAGAAAGGGCTGAAAGATATTGAAGCCCCCTGTTAAGCTTAAGGTCCAGCAATAACTTTCTGTAGGTTCACTACATGCAGCACCCTACACAGTATACACAATGTTTGACCTTGTGTTGGTATACGGCTGTTAACAAAAGTTCATATACACTTATAAAGGCAGTCTGGAGTTTCCAGTGAGTCTTGTAACTGAATTTTCCATGATGATCATTGAAACCCATTCATCTTTGTCACAATCAGACATTTTGGTTCTTTCATAGATGTATTATAGATTTTCTGGAAATATGGCAAAAATCTGTTGGGTCAAAAATATACATACAGAAATTTTAATTATTGGTTAAATCAAATTCTCTTAGGGGCATGACCCTTTAAATTGTTGGTGAGACACTCATTAGACTCAGCACTACAGTGGGAAAGTCTGAGAAGCTCCACAAAATCTAAGAAAAGTACATCACTGACTAGAACAAGTCAGGGAAGTCACTTGGAGCCATTTCAAAGCAGCTACAGATCCCAGATCATCTGTGCAAACAGCTAATAAAGTTCATGGTACAGTTGTGTCACTGCCATAATCACTATGACAACACAAGCTCTCACCTGCTGCTGAGAGATGATTAGTCAGAATGATCAAGAGTCAACCAAGAATAATACAAAAGCAGGTCTGAATGAATCAGAAGCTGCTGGAACACAGCTGTCAGTGACCACAGTGTTTTACATCAACATGAGCTGAGAGGCTGATGAAGAAGGAAGTTCTTCCTCTAGAAGCAGAATCTTAAAGCTCCACTGAAGTCTGCTGCTGGTCACATGGACAAAGAAACAGCCTTCTGGAGGAAAGTTCTGTGGTCAGATGGAACAAAAGCTAAGATATTTGGCCACAATGACCAGAAATATGTCGGAAGAAAACAGTAATGAGGCCCTTAACCTCAAAAACACCAGGTTTAGTGTCTTGCCAAAGGACACTTTGGCATGTGGAGGGATGGGGGAATGCCAGGGACTGTGGACAACCCACTCTAACACCTGAGCCACAGCCTCCCATGATAGAGTTCCATGACTGCAGAGTTTGACTAGTTCTTCAGTGGTTACATGACCGTAACTCCCTAAAATCTCTCTCTGTGTATCAAAGTTACATATTTAGAGAGCCCTAACTCTTGCTCACCTGCAACTTTGTTCAGTCATGGTAAAAAATCACTGGGAGGTTGTTATTCTGGAGTCATTCAGTCATACATGTCTGAATCAGAAACTGATTCAGAAGAAGAACAATGATTCAGGAAGCCCAACCTTGCAAATGGACATGATTGGTTTCTTAGGCTTGCTGTGCTGTGGGTGAAACTCAGTTACTCACCTGGGGGAGACTCATGATTAAGATCTTCTTTATTTGAAAGTAAAGATCTGAGTCAATTATCTTGGCAAGACATATAGCTGAATTTTTAATGTGTACATACATTTTTCTATTGTTGCAAACCTTAGTGTATCAGTCCTTTTCTGAAGTCCACCCTCTCTGGCTTCATCACTAATTAGAATCAGCCTACCAGTTCTGACTGATTAATATTTACCCTGATCATCCAATGGTTGCAAGTGTTGTCCTTCTGCCTGCTTCACACGCCTGTTTATTTTTTCTTTGACACTTAAGAGGATAGGGCATGTTCTTTTCATGTCAGCCTGAGGACACACATTGAGAGGCATTTCTGCTGATATATTCAATTCCCACAGAGATATTAGAATACACTACTGCTTTGTTCTTATAAGAACAGATGAGAAAAATCATGAATAATTATATGTAGAACTCATGGAAAACACATATCTATATAGAAACACATAGGGTCATATGGATAGCTGTGGGTGATTATAACTTCTGAATACACGAATAAATGACTAAAGTGTCACGGCCAGGTGGCTGCAGGAACGTGTGTGCGGGACCCAAAACGAGAGGGAGGCAAGTTAAAAAGGAAAACAGGTTTATTGGGGAATCTAGTCTAAAGCGCAGCAGGAAAACCAGAGGTGAGGGTGGTGTCTCGTGCCGGTGCTCATGAGGGGAGAAGTGAGGTCTGTGTTGTCAGCGTGAAAGCTGGTGTGGGAAACCTGAATGGCTGGAATGGAGGCTGAATGGAGGAGACGCTGGAAACACACAAGGAGAACGCAGGTTACTGGAGAACTTGAGAGTGAATACAAGAGAGAGCTTAGTTCGAACAGCTAAGTGGCCTGAATGTACCACACATTGGGTAGGCAATCATCTGGCGCTGGAGCACAGGTGAAGAGTGGCTTTATCCAGCGCGCTGATTGGGATGATGCACCGAGTGCCAGAGTGGGAGCATCCTACTCCAAATCCGCCCCACCCAGCCTGAAACTCAAAAACCAGCCCTCCACAGAAAAAGACACAATCACAGGAATCATGCACAACAAACTAAACATGCCCATATCACAACATAAAGATATATATGTGCCTAGAAACACACATGTAGATTACATTTTCCACTGCAGCTACATATGAAATACTGGAAGTCTGCATTTGTTTTTGTTTTTTTAAACTGATGTCAGTGCACTGTGGTTTTTTGTTTGTTTGTTTTTTAAGTTTTTTTTTTTTGGCCTTTTTGCCTTTATTTGATAGTGCAATGTAAGAGAGAGAGAGGAAGTGGGGAAGGAGAATGGGGGAAGGACCTGTGGAAAAGGGCCATGAGCAGGATTCAAACTCATGACTCCCCTATACATGGGAAGCCAGCCCAACCAGGTGAACCACAGCGGCCCCCAGTGCACTGTAGTTTTAAGGTAGAAATGCTCAGCCACGGTGCTGATTGCTTATTTTGCTCAAGTCTTTTGGGATGTAAAAAACACCATGTGAACATGTTAAAAGAAAAAAAAGATTTGCAAAGGAGGGGGTCTTTACAGGCAGCCCAATGACTGTGATGTCCCTTGATGAGAATCTGTATCACAGCATGTTCCCTAAGGTGCCTGTGATACAGCCATCTGTGTGAGGAAGCATTTTTCAGTGAAACTTGTGTTCTTGAATGTAATCTTTTCTTCTTGGCTGACCTGTAAAAAGTCATATGTGGTGACATGCAATGAACAGAAGGTATGTCAGCATGTTTCTTAAGACCACAGATGCTAAATGGAGGAGGACAGCGACTGGTGAGAGCAAAGCAATAGGAAAGAATTTTGGCCAGTATAGACTAACCAGCAGAACAGAGAAACATGAGAAGGGCCTGAAATGTTACTCTTGGTAAGTTTTATTTGCAAGAGATTTTGTTCACAGCACACTACCATTCTAGTTCATGTGTTCATGTGATAAAATCTGAATTAGTTCATTGAAGTTTTAGATCTCTGCCGATATCCCTGGTGAGATGTGTGCATGTGATGTGTCCAGTCATTTTCTTGTAAAAACAATCTGCTACAAGTAAAAAAAATGCATTCATATCTGTACTTAGGTAAAAGCATGTATGTTTTTTTATTTTTGTTTCTTAATGTACCCACCATGTAGGCTAAATTACTCTGTCAGGATTATACTGTTATTTATTATGCCAGTGGATTCTCATTACTAATGCGTACATATGGAAACAGCAGTTTAATTTTATAGTTGGGGTGAACGTGAAACTGATTCTAGCTGTTTTATATTCTAGTGTGCAAAGCAGAAACTAGCACAAAATGAAAAAATAAAAAGTATGCATACCTCACATCTGTATTCAAGTACAGCACTTGAGTAAATGTACTTGGCAATAGTACTTTTGCCATCTAATATATATGCACACTCTGTGTTTATCACATCTGAATGTGTAAACAGCTTAAACACAGTCTAGACACACTGCACTCCAGCGTCCTCACTGTGGTCACAGTTGTGAACGCCAGCTCCACTGTGCTGGCAGCCAAAGATGTCAGACTCTTCTCCTGTGCACCGCAGGTCATCCAGCCAGATCTTACCAGAGCCTGCACAAGGAAAGTACTGTTACAGCTGACATAAAAAGCCCACAGGGATAGCACTGTGAAAGATTTATCTGACAGAGGCATCCAAATCTAAACAATGATGAAAGAAAAAGTATTGATTTACAAGAGATGGTCAGAAAAAATACACGCACACACTTCTTTGAGAAGATGACAGAATGGGCTTCTTACCTGGGGTGGCGGTGAAGGTGGAAATGACGGATTGAAAGCCCAGCATCTTACAGATCACTTTGCCATCCACCATGTCAAAGTTGTCGTCACAAATGGTGCCCCAGTCATTGTTGTGCTTAACCTCCACTCGTCCTCGATATTTCCCCGGGACAAGACGAATGCTCACTGGTGGCACAAAGTTGGAGGTGATAGGATTGAAGTGCATGTTTGCATGAATAACAAGACAGCAAAAAAATAAAACATCATGACCACTCACAGATGGTGTGAATAACATCTCAACAGTATCTGTCCATATCTGGGATATATTACAAGTTAAGTTAATCTTGAGTTTGCAGAAATGGGTTGGTTAAAAAAAAAAAAAAAAACCCAAAAACAAATGCAATTTTTCAGGAACCAAATCATTGTGTTCAGATAACTGGATTGGAGGGATGCAAGCAGAAGCCGCTACGTGGCACATCGCATGCAATGCTGATGACAGAAACTGTATCACAATGACTGACTGAAGTAGCCAATTCTGCAACTACCAACCACCAACAAGAATCAGGCTTTTCCCAGTCACGATTGCGGCACTAGTTGAATGACCTGTTTGTCACTCATTGTTAGTTACATAGTTTAACTATGAAGTTATAAGGTCCCATTTTAGGATGTAGAGTTCAAAAAGTTCAAAGGTTGGTCGATTGCCAACCCACATTCACACAAAGAGGTGAGATCAGTGCAGGTTCACTGTCAATGCACAGTGAGAGGTATCACTTCTAATGAATGCTTTGCTACTGGCCACGAACAACCTTGGTTTGTCTGGAAGACACTGAACTATCTGCAGGGTGGTGAAGGACGATGTAAGGTTTCCATGAGCAAGTGGAAAATCTCAACCACTGATGCTTGTGTATGTGGGGAGGTCCAGACCATGGAACATCCCATGAGATGTGGTAGTGCTCCACAATGTACTGGAGATGACCTATAGCCATGCCAAATGCCACTGCAATCGCCTGTGCCTGCCGCTGGAAGGACGCAATATAGAAGACGGACGGACACAAGGAAGAAGAACTGGATTGTATATCTCTAAAAACTACAAGTCTTATGGGGAACTCTTGGTCCAAGGACGGACAGACTGTGAACCAGTGACAGGAGGATAAGCTTTCCTAAGTCTGATCTGCAGCAGCACCAACTCTCAACTTTCAGAATTTAAAGGATCTGCTGCCTAACATCTTGATGCTTAATACCACAGGACAACAACAGAGGTTTGTGGAATCCATGTCTCTGGCAGGTCAAAACTGTTTTGATAGCACGTGAATGACCATCAGCAGTTGGTCAAAATATGTGGCTCATTAGGCAAGGAGAAATCATAGGCAATCTTTGCAATTTAAGTGTTTGGGGTTTTTTTTAGAATTTTTTTAAACATCTCTCAGGCATGACAGTAGTTTCTGAAACTTCTGCTGCTTTCAAAATTGTACTGTACACACTCACACTCGTTTCCTTGTTCTCCCTTTTCCCCTTTGGCACCTTGTGGTCCAGCGAGACCTGTGGTAGAAAAAATGGCCAGTTGTGACTTTATAAATACATTGAGAGTGAAATGACTGCCTATTACTTGATAGTTTCTAATATTTTATACATGTGGAGAAATTTGATTTGAACAGTCAAATTTTCATTACTTAAGTACACACTCACCCTCAGATCCATTGAAACCATGAGGTCCTCTCACACCTGATGAAGATAACAAAATGATATCTCATAAAAAACACTTGTACATTACTGCTAAATCTTGTCTTCCCGGTAAAAGTGGATTAAACTGACACTTTAAAGCGGCTTTTAGAGGCCAGGGGCCTCATTTATCATCAGTACATATGCACAGATGTGTGCGTAGAGCAGGCCTATTCAATTATTTTTTCTTCTGGGTCAGATTTGAAAATTTTCAGATGCTATTGGGCCGAAGACCCCCTACTCATATTATTTCTCGAGACTTAACTATATGCTACCACCTAAACTAAATCATAAAATTAAATAAAAGAATTCACAATAAAGGCTTTATACTGCATAATTTATTATTATTATAATATATACATCAAAATATTTCAAGTGCATTGCAAATTTTAATGGTTGGTCCAAACTTTGACCAGAATATTTTTAACAAGAAATCTGTTCACCACACATATGTTTAATAAAAAATAATGTGGAACAACTTTTTGCAACAGTAAAGTCTTCTACAACATTTTAGATGTATTTTCAAAAGTGCATTTGTTGAACTAGAATGGCCAACTGAGGCAGTGCATTAAATATTTCAACACAAGAAATTGCAGCAAGTGAACATTTAATAACTGTAAAATGAAAGCTTCTTCTGCATATTCAAAGTAATGCTGACTTAATAACATCAGTGTGAGAAGTGACATGTTTTGTTTTGAACAATAGCCGTAACGTTTGGCTCATACGAAGTCAGTGCAATACGAAGGCAATGGTGCAGGGTGGAATCAGTCATGGAGCATCGCAGGTTTGACTTGATTGCGTTCATGTGAGAAAAATTTGATTCACACACATACGTGGAGCCAAACATGCTAAGCACAGTAACAGCTATTTTCTTAAGGTTTGGGAACTGGTGAACATTTATGTCACTCCAAAACTGGATCGCTCCATTTGTGCGCAGCTCTTTGGGCAGCGATAGGGATGACTGCATGTCCACAAGTTCAAGAATGAACTGGACCTCGTCAATAGAAGGGACCACTTGCTTTGCGCAGGTGGACAGATTGTCATCTGTAGCAAGAGCAGAAAATGGGTCTTTGGTAAAACGCTTCACCTCTGTAGGGAGTGATAGGCCATCCAGCCGGCTGGCAAAGTTGTCTTTTAGTTTCGCAACTAAATCTGTCATCGCCGCTGTGACAGGTGCTGTAGGTGTGATGCATTTGTGTACCGTAGGAAAATGCAACATTCTTCCTGAGCTCAAGTCTGCAGCAAATAGTTCCAGTTTGGCTTGAAATGCGCGTGTCTGTTCCACCAGATCAATGATGGTTTTCTCTCTGCCCTGGAGTCCGAGGTTTAGCCGATTTAAATGTGTGAACAAATCAGATAGGAAACACACATCTGCCATAAAGTCTGCGTCCATTATGCGGTTTAGGTGCGCTTCTGCTTTTTTTTGCTCGCTGTCATGAAGGAAAACTGTAATCTCCTCCTTGAGCTGCGGAAATGTCAGACAGCAGCTGGCGAAACAAGCGATGCTGGAGACTTGAGGTTGCACGTATGAAGTTTACAGTCGCCATAACATTGTCCATTACACTTTTGAAGTGTCCGTTTAGTTTCGCACACAGCACGGCCTGGTGCACAATACAGTGCAAGAATGTCATCCTCGGAGCAACAGCTGTCCACCGCGCTGTCAGTCCACTCACTTTCCCAGTCATAGACAGAGCACCATCAGTCACAAGCATACAGACCCGAGTCACATCCAACCCATTGTCTTGAAAGAAAGACAAGATTTTATCAAAGAACACCTCACCGGTAGTGTGACCTTTGAGGGGTAGAAGGCAGAGCAGCTTCTCGCGAAAACACCGGTGTCCACATCATAGAAGTGCACATACACACACAGCTGTGCAGTGTCAAACCGATCTGTTGAGTCGTCCAATGCGATTGACATAACTTCAACTTTTTTCAGGTCACTCAGCAGAGCCTCAAACACATCTGTTGCTAGTATTTCCACTCTGCGCGTGTTTGAGGTATCTGATAGGGGCATGCTTTTGACTGCAGATGTCACACTGGCTTTGATTTTATCGTCGTGGATTACCTCGTCAAATATTGCAATCATGCAGTCTCTAACAGTTTCAGAATCAGTGAAGGGTCGTTTTTTCTTTGCTAAAGCGGCCGTGGCCCTCTCTTGTGCTGTAAATGTCTTCACTAATGTGGAACAACTCCTGTTATAAGATGCTAGCCGGCTCTGCACCTTGGTCGCCCTCTCCTCTGTCCCTTTAGGAAATGCTGTCCCAAAAGCTCGGTGTTTCTCAACATGGTGCCTCCGAATGTTATATTCTTTTAATACTGACAGGCTTTCATTGCAAAACAAGCTCAGTGGCTTAGAGTTCAGTCTTTGAGGTAATATAAACATGTATTTTTCAGTCAGTCAGGGTTAAAACGGCGATTTT